ACTTATTGGTACAAAGAAAGCTCCAGGTCGTCAGCATCTCAGGAAAGGGGTGCACAGAGGGCTCTAGTCACAAGGACTTTTATTCTGACCAAGAGTACTGCCCCCAGCCTGCGAGATAAGACCCGGGCAGGAGGGGACAGCCTCCTCCTGCCATCCACATGATCCTGTGACAGGTGATGACTGGCAGTGCCTCCCAGTCTCCCCACAAGGCCCAGGACATTGCCACCAACAGTGCCACTTCATTCTTATAGCTGCCTGTTCCTCACATAGCCTTCTTGGAGTCTAGCAACTCCCCCCTCCCCAACCCCTCCTGTCTTAACACCCTGATGTGTCTGCTTTGAATGAAGACCCACAGAAACCTCTACATGTCTCTGCTTCTGTCCCTGCCATGCTGGCAGATCCTGTGTGCATGCGTGTATGCAAATGCATGTGTGTATGCACGGGAGTGTGCCCGAGTGTGCGTGTACCTACGTGTTCACACCATCACAGTGAAAAGCCTGGATTAGAAGTGAGTAAGATCCACCTGGGACAGAATCCTGGTCCTGCCAGTCATTAGCCATGTGATCTTGTGAAAATCACCTAACTTTTCTCAGTTTTGGTTTCCTCAGCGTTGAAGCAGGAGACAGAAATGACTCTCAATGGTGTCATGAGGGTCAGTAGAATCATGGGAGGGAAGCACAGTGGACACGCACATGTGAACTATCTATCCATCAATAATTGAAAGGGAACGGATTGTTTTCAGAGCACAGCTATTTTCCATCTGACTTTTTAAATGACCATTTTTTCCCACTGAGGTCTTTCATACATTTTCATATAGCAATCCTCCTGAGGAGGAGACAGAGAGAAAAGCTGCACTGCCTTGCATGGGATGATGAGAATCTGTCTTATAGGCCGGAGAGGGTGAGCCTGTGAATGAGAAAGCACGAAGGGGGAGAGACAGCGAGAGGGTTCCAGGCTGGGTGTATGTGGGAGAGGGCCCCACGGACAGGATGCCCCGGGGCCTAGGAGGTGGGAAGACCTTATAGAACAGGAGGGCTTGGGACTCATTCAGTAGGAATCTCCAGTGTCGCTGCTTTGCTTCTACATGGGCGCAAGGTTCTTTGAAGGAATTTGGGGGAACATTTTTAGGAGAGTAAGATAAGGACTAATGTCAATGTGGCACGTAGCAGGTGTTCCTTCCATGTCTGGAGGGCAACATATCTAAAAAATAAGCAAATTAATTAGATAAAGACAAATTAGACCTGGATAATTGTGAGAAGAAAGTCCTCCCTCCAGAAGTCTCCACAATACTTCTCCAGAGCCTGGAATGAGCCCAACATGACTCAATAATATCTATCCCTGGGTCATAACAGGCAGGGAGAACCAACAGCTGGTGAAATGTATGTGCGTACATGACTGTCACTACGTTAGGCTCTTTAACTGATGTATGCATGTGTGTATTACATATGTGGATAATTCTATATATTATGTAGACATAGAGATGTAGATCTAAACACAGACACAGATATGGATGTAGATGTAGACACAGACACTGATACAGATAAAAGGAGAGAGAGAGAGAGAGAGAGAGAGAGAGAAAGAGAGAGAGAGAGAATCCACCTTGTCTGTTACTCTAACCATCAGATATCTCAGAGTGCGTGGCCTTCCCTGGTGCTCCACTGCCACTCATCTGTCATGGTTTCTCCTTAATGCACTGGGGAGAACACGACTTCTCTCTACCATCCCCCACTCCAGGAAAAATTGCCCGTGACCTTAAGACAGCCTCATCCAGGGCTCCACTGTGTTCAGGATCAAGGCCAGCATTTTTTAGGGACTGTCAAGGCTCTGTGCAGCATGACTCTGTACCACTATTCCAGTTTCTGTTGGCTTCCCAAGAACTGGCACATTGGCTATACTGTAAACATGTCTCTCCCTACCCCATTCCTAGGCTCTACTCCATGATATTTTCCTTTCTGGGACGATGCAGTTTAAGTCTCATTTGCTCAGTATCCTTTATGTAACATGGTCTTACAAAGGAGTTCTTAATAAATCCTTTTACAACACAACTCTGCCTCATATTTCTCATTCCTTTTCAGCAACTAGCACACGCTTGCGCATGTATGCGTGGTTAATAGACCTTTAAAAGCCTTTCACTAGCATTAGCACTGACTTGGAAGTGTGTAAACAGCCATTCCTGATGATTCCGGTCACCCTCATGAGAGAGAGATCATGCTCCAAGATAGGCCTAGTGACATGTGATGGCCACACCCCTCTTCAGAAGTCAGCCACTGTCCCACCTGGCCATGACATTTGTTCAAGTTGTTCCAGTGGGCTGACTTATGGGGGAGGGGGTGGGGTGGCCAGGATATCCATGCCTTGGCTCATGTGGGAGCTCAGCTCCTGATTCCTAGAATGATGGGGTAAGGAGGTCATCTGGTTCCTGCCTCTGCCTCCAGGGATGGCAGCGCCCTAACCATCCAGCTGCTTGGACTTAGTGGTGAGTCAACCACGTGGTTGCAAGCATATCACTTGGACTGACACTTTGGCCTTGGATATTAGCTATCAATGGCTTTGGGACCATTCAGTAAACATGTTTGACTACCGAAGGCCTTCTGACATTACCTTTTCACCCAAGCAGTCTGTCTCTCATCTCTCAGGCAGCCGGACGGGGGCACTGCTGAGATCATATAAGAAGCATTTCAGACTGAATTAATTTTCCTCTGGGCCTTCCCACTCTGCTCCCTTCTTGCAATAACTAACCGACCCTCATTCTCTAAGATCCATCTGTTTTCTGCACAAACCAAATAGGTGAGTTAAATGGGAATGTGGTGGGAATCAGCACCCCTGCATCCTTGAGATTGAATTTATAGTATCGCTAATCTCTGCAGTCCCTTCAGCGATGTGGTGTTGCTTTTGATTTGTCATTTTCCTGGGTAGAGACAGTTCTAATGGTTCTAATGGCTCCTAGTTGACCTCCCCATCCCAATAGCCCTCACTCCACTGATCAGAGAATCAGTGTAGGGATTCTGACAGTTGCTGTGTTTGTCTGTTCCTATCACACATTCTAGAACCAGGGAAATAACCACGAGGTGGGCTCAGGACCCACTAGGCCCACTGTGAGATGAAACTGAGCTAAAACCCCATCGATCACCTGACCTCCATAAGCTCCCGTCCTACCAAATAGGGACCAGAGTGGAGCAAAGTGATGTCTTGAGCCTCCTGGAATTAGTGTCAGTCCACAGCCAGTGTCCAGTTAGCCCCAAAGTCTGATTATTTTCTCTTTCCCCAGTGCACAATTACCCTGGAAAAAAGGGCCATAGGTCCCTTTGGGGAAAGCCGGGGGGAAAATTAGTAGCTTAAGTCTTTGGCAGAGTACAAGGGTTCTTCCTCCAGAGGACCCGTCCTCCCCTTCATTCAAGGTGTTCCGTGTCTATAAACTAGCTCAAAGTTGGGAAGTGATTGAAGGAGAATTATTCTCTTTTTACGGCTCAGAGTTTCGTTCACTTAGAGATTTTCCTCTGTTACCTATCCAGTAAGAAATTAATACCTTTCCCATCAATTTCACTTCCAAACCACCATGATGAACTGGCCAGAGCCACAGCTCTGTGAGCCAGAATGTTCTGATTGCTGCTTTGACCCTGCTCTCCAGGATAGTAACCACACCCACTTTGCCTTTGGTCCTAAGTGCTGCCAATGGTGTCCAATTTTCCCTATTGCATTTAGGTTTCCCAATTCAGTGCCATCGGATTCCACTGTAATTTCTAACCTACAGAGAAGAACTATCAGCTAGCTCCTCAAGGGTGCTATGGTCTCCTCACAAATTTATTTCTCATAGTCAGGAGGGATGTGTCCTATCGACCCTTCCAGAGAAGACAAGCAGATCCCAACTGATAACTCCGCTGTAACATTCCAGTAAACCTTTGGGCCCCTTCCTCTGTAATATGCCAAGGAAGTCCTGGCGTTTCATCTTCATTTAGTGTCAGCCACCTTCTGGTCCATGATTCAGCCAACCAACCAAACACACTGTTAGAGCCCTGTCAACCCCCTCCATCACCACCGCCACCACACTACATAGCATTGAGTCTAGGACATCTGCTTGGCAGACCTATGTGAATAAATCTGGCTCGATCCAACTTTATGTCCCTTCCACAATTATCTCATACCCTTAATATCCAGGACACACATATTCCCTGGGTTTATATCTGTATAAATTGGAAAAACTCATGTAGCTCTTTTGGAGTGTAGCATACCTGCTGATAGGTCACCCCTATCAACAAAAGGTGTACTTCACCTTTGGGGGCCTAGGGGGCCTTGAGATGAGGTCGCTTCCAGAAGCAAAGAGAGATGGTGAGATGGGACCTGAAGAGAACCAACAGTGCTCTGGAAGGCAGCCACTTCCAGGAGGCCTTTCAGCTTCCTCAGGAGATGTGTGGTTAACTTCCTCAGATGATATGAAAAGGTACTTCTACTGGCAAAAAATAAAGAAAACCAACAAAACAAAGCAAAACAAAACAACAACAACCTGATGGAATTGAATTTAGAAATTCAATGTCTCGGCTTTATCAGGATTTACCCAAATGTCTCTATTCCAATTTTCAGGGACCCAGGGATGCAACAACTGGATATCACATGAGGCATGGTATCAGCCCTCAGGAGGACACTCCTTGCAAAAATGTACGGCAGAACCTCGTCAGGAAGAAACATCAAACAGACCCAAATTGACAGGCATTCCACCAAAACCAAAACTGTTTCAAAATCTTCAAACCATAAAAGGTAAAAAGCCTGGACTGTCACAGATGGGAGGGGACTAACAAATTCTGGCAACTAACGCAAGGTTGGTTCCTGAACTGGATTCTGAACCAATAAAGACTGGTTTTGCTCTTAAAGACATTAGTGGTGCCAAGGGGCAAATCTGAGTAAGTTCTGTAGACACCGCAGCCTCGGGGAAAGCAGAAGTTGAGGCCAGTATGAGAAAGATAAAGTAGGAATGAATAGAAAACAACAATCGAGGCAAGAGGGAATGAAGATTTCTAGTTTTATTGTTGCACATCGGGCTGGGTTGACAACAAGGTACGCTACAGAAGGGTGCAGGCTCTGCGCTTTGGGTTCCCAGGGTAGCCACACATATGGGGGAGATGAGGAAATGGGTTTTTAGGAGAGGGGTTTTGGCTCCTGGACACCAGGGCACAGGGATCCTCTGGGCCAGAGCTCAAGGCTGCGCTCAGACCCCGCAGCCACTTGAGCTGACCCAGCAGGCCGAGCTGGAGCAGGGGCAGGAGGAAGGGTTTGGCCACTGGCTATCCCCAAGTATGTTCTTCTTGGCTCAGAGTCCGCTTCAGCAGCAGCCCCCAGACGACTGACTGCTGCCCCCTCCACAGCAGCCCGAGCCCCCTGAGGGCTGGCTGCAGCAGCCTGAGCTCTGGTGTCTGTGGCGGTGGGACCTGTGTCGCCTGTGGTGGCTCAGGCAGCAGCCGCCACCCCCGGAGCTGGAGCCACAGCAGCCGCCACCCCGGAGCTGGAGCCACAGCAGCCCCCAGAGCTGACACTACAGCAAGAAGAGACTGGGGGGCACTTTGGGGGACACTTGGGGGGGCACTGGGGGGCGGGGCACTTGGGAGGGGGCTGGCACTGCTGCTGGTTCTGCTGGCAGGACATCTCAGTGGGCAGGGTCAGGACCTGAGGGAGAGTCACACAGGGAGTCAGACCCAGGACACAGAGCCCCCCTGCCCCACCCCTTCCTGCTCTCAGTATCATTTCTAGTGCCTTTATTGGATGAACTGTTTAAATGGAGGCCTTGATAATTCCACCCTGGAAGTTTCACTATTTCTAATACTTAGGCATATTCTCTCCCACTATGTCCTTTGCATCTCACAATTTCTATTTTAAGGTAGGCAGGGTTCTTCTGTCTTTCAAAAGAAGGAGATGGAGGCAAAACCAGTATGAAAAAAAATCGATCATGATTAATTATCTGGTAAGTGAAGGTGGTAATTTTTTCTATCTTGTCAACCAGAACTCTCAAACTGGCCAGTCTGGAAACCAGATCAGAATGTAAATATTCTCTCAAAGAAAGGAAATCAGGTATTTTTACCTCCTAGTCATTATTTCTAATAGTTCCTCAAATGTTCTCATATCATCTCTTTGAGTCGTATGTTATGAGTTGTTTCATCTGTTATATAAGTGGAGAACTTCCGCCAAAAAATGTTATGAAAACATTCTCAAAATCAAACATCTAGAGGAAATTTTCTACAGCAGAACACTTGGAACAGTTAATCTATATAAAAATCCCGAAATAATTTATCTAGGTAGCAGTTTAGAAATGAAATTATTTCTTAGGGAAACCAGTCATTCCCTCTGGAGAACTTTCTAGATAACCTTGTCCTGTAGGGACATAGATGTTCATAGCTGCAAAGGACATTGGAGATTGACTGGCTGAAAGAGCTGAGGAAAAGATAATTTAGTGTAAGCTGGGACTTGCACCAGGCCCCTAAGTGGGTATGGTGCTCTGGCATCTTGCAGACACTCACCTTAAACTAACACTCATCATCAAGATTTGAATTGTTCCTATTCAACTCTGCAGTCCTTTAGTCTAAGTATTTAAAATAAATCAGTAGCTCTGACTTCTCCTCTTCTGACAACAGTGTAGGTTGGTACAGTGGTCAATGTTGCAAATCCTTCCACCAGAGACCAACAACTACAGATCAGCTGGTTTCTCCAGAGTACTGTCACTCTCATATGGTTCCTCCTGCTCATATTCCCAGGCTTCCTTGCTCCCTGCCCCTCCCTCAGTGTTCCTGAGACTTCTTGGTGACATGAACCCAACTTCATATTCTCACCCACCACACACACACACACACACACACACACACACACACACACAAACACTGCAAAGGCCCTGCCCCACCCCCTGCTCTGGTTTGAGCTCCCTTTGTGGAAGGAACTGCTCTCCATCCCAGAGGACACTTACCACTGCACAGGCAGTACTGGATCTGTCAACACCTCAGGAGACGAATGCATGGAAGGGTTCTTCTCTGAGGCCCTTTTATCCTGGCCTTGAGCTCTGTCCTCGCCCGTGAGATAGGACCTGGGCATGAGGGGACAACCCTCTGCCACCTACTTGGTCCTGTGACAGGTAGCGACTGGCATCTCCTTCCTGCCTCTTTCCACAGGGCCCAGGGTAGTACTAGGGCTGTTTAGAAATGGGGTTTGAGAGTGAATTCCTACCACCATCTGCCACTCAGGACTCTAGCCTCTCATTCTTGGAACCCATACCCCTGACCCCAACTTCCTTTCTTTCCTCCCAAATGTTAATTTAATGGTTACATACAACTGGGTTCAAGCCAAGTTCTTACTATATTCCTTCGTGTTTTATTCTGTCCTGGTAATCCTGACACATTACATATTATAATGTGCGTGGTTTCAACTTTATAGAAATGGCATCATATTTGAGGTATTCACCTGCAACTTGCTCTCTTCTTTAAAAATTCTTTTTGTGGATTATTCATGTTGATCTGTGTAGCTGTCATTTTATTCATTTTTACAACCTTATAGTATCCATCTTACGAGTACAGTGTTATTTTGATACCCTGTCTCTTTTGGACGGACATTCAAGTTGTTTGTACTATTTGCTGTATAAATATGGCAGCTATGGGGATTTGTGTGCATGTCTGCATGGGTATGTGTTGGAGAGACTCTCCAAGTTAAGCATCTATAAGTGGAACTGTTGAATTTTCAATCATGTCCATCCCTCAAATTTGCTCTTTTCGATTTCTGTTTCTACTTACGGTTTATAAGAATCACTCTTCTGTACATCGTTGCTGAACTTAAATTATTACCATTTGACGTATATAAATTGATGTACACTTGTACCTTTAATATGCGTTTTCTGCTTAGTAATGATCATGAGCATCTTTTAATGTTTGTTGATCATTTTGGTTTCCTTTTCTGTGAATCATATCTGTTCTCTTAAAAATTTTTCCATTTGTCTCTTTTTGTTAGAATCTGTAATATTCTGGCTTCTAAGGCACTATTATTAAATGAATTGTGAACATCTTTCCTCTTGTTTGCTTTTTAATGGTGTCATTTGATGAGCAGATATTTCTCTTTTTAATATAGCTCTATCTCTGCAACATTTACAATGCTATTTGCACTTTTCATGGCTCTAAGTCTCAACCATCCGTAAGCCCAGAAATCTGTTCAGAATTTTGTTTTCCTTAAAAAGCTGTAAAAACTGGAGATCCCTGGGTGGCGCAGCGGTTTGGCGCCTGCCTTTGGCCCAGGGCGTGATCCTGGAGACCCGGAATCGAGTCCCACGTCGGGCTCCCAGTGCATGGAGCCTGCTTCTCCCTCTGCCTGTGTGTCTGCCTCTCTCTCTCTCTGTGACTATCATAAATAAAAAAAAAAAAATTTAAAAAAAAGCTGTAAAAACTCATTTTCTTTTTAAAATTAAAGTTTTTTAACTAAGCATGGAATTTTTGTACATTTTATATTTTTAAACATTTTTTTCCAAATGAAAAATCAGTTGTCTATGATAATCAAATATTTTATTTTCCCCACTAATTTGAAATACCTCCTCAATCATAACTGAGTTTCCACATTTGTACAGCTCTGTAGTTGGCCTGATCATTCTTTTCACTGCCAATTTGTTTGTCCCAGTGAGAATATCCTGCTGCCTTAATTACTATAGGTGTGTAATCTATTGTGATATCACATAGGTTCCAGTACTTTGTTCCCCTCTTTAAGATTATCTTGGTGATTACCAGACCTTTGCTCTTTCATATAAAATTTAGAGGCAGCTTGTCACTTGTCACAAATGAAAATAAAGGAAAAGAAAACATCTTTAGAATTTTGATAGAAATATTGCTAAATATATGCATTTATATGTGAAGGATTGTCAGATATTTTTCATGATTTTCCTTTTGAGCCATTCAAGAATATGATATATCTCTATTTTGATTTTCTGCAATGCCTTTCAGTAAAGTCTCCTTATTTTATCAAAAATAGTTTACATTAATATTTTAGATACTATAATTTTTGCTGTTTTAAATAGCAACTTCTAAAATTGTAATTTTGGATCTTTTATTTCTATTAATATAAATCTAATTTATTCTGTATTCTGATCTTATATCTTGGAAATTTTCTAACTCTTAGTATTATTTTTATTTCTTATTTCTTGTGGTAATCATTCTTATTCACGTGATTTTCTTTCCTTTTTTTTTTTAAAGGGAATTTCATGAATTTAGTTATTCATGAAAGACAGAGAGAGAGAGAGAGAGAGAGAGAGAGAGAGAGGCAGAGACACAGGCAGAGGGGAAAGCAGGCTCCTCGCAGGGAGCCTGCCTGATGTGGGACTCAATCCCAGGACCCCGGGATCACGACCTGAGCCGAAGGCAGAGGCTCAACCGCTGAGCCACCCAGGAGTCCCTTACATGATTTTCTTTATCAAATCTTTTCTTTCTCCTTGGGTTACATCCTTAGAAGCTCAATTGCTATATTAAAGCAATTATGCTCATTTTAAAGTAGGCTTATTTAAAATTTTAATTTATATACACAACAATTATGTGTTGAAAATGAATCATCAAATTTCCATCCAGATGGTTATGGCAATTTATATTTCCAAAAACACCAAGACCTATTTCTGATCAGCAATAGTGAACTTTGTTATCCGTCCTAAGTCTTTTCCAGTTCAGTATAAAGGAATAAATCTAACATAACTCATTACAGGAAAGTCATCCTTGTTTTATATGTAGTTCTTTGGTTATTTGTATGCACAAACATAAAACAATATGTTTCAAAATCTAGTAGTCACTTATATTTCTTTCTAAGCTATTTGTTCCTATGCTTTGCTCACTGCTTTGTAGATAGTTTTATTTTCTATAAAATTGTAAGAACTTACAGTTTATTATGAATTTTAATTCCTTTACTGACCTATAGATTTTATTTTTTCCTTATTTGATCAATGTTTCCATCTTTTTAAAAGATGATGTGTTCTGTCATACAGAATTTTTTCCTATGTGATGAAATTTGTCAATATTTTTTGCCATGCTTAAAATAGTTTACCTATTATAAAGGAACAGTTAGGAGCGTATTTTAGTAATTTTGGAATACTGACTTATTGTTTGTACTATAGAGACTTATGGTGGCTGGCTCAAGGACACTGAGGCTGAATTAATTCTTACCAGGTCTCAACATTCTTCCTTCTTATCTCCTGAGATTATGAGAGCCTGACAACATAAGAAATACACTGTGTCAGAAAATTCATCCTTTGCTAGTACCCATTGTTTATATAAATCCCTTGAGATCTAGTGCCAGTCCTCCAGGTTACATCATGCTGTTATCTTTTCACCCAAGCCCAAGTCAGCCTGATGTTTTGGGTGCTGATCTTTGTGGGGTCAGGACACTGACAGAATAGCTTACAAGTCTCATCATGCTTGGATTGGATGAGGTGGGTTCCTGAATCAGAACTCCGTATGTGAACCAGCAATTAATATCTTAATCACACTCACATTAAATACACTCTTTGAAATGATATGACCCACACCCAGATAATTTGCTGGCAGATTTCTGCAAGGTGATAAGGCTAGGACACAGTAATGTGAATATCTCATAGTGAGAATACTAATGATAACGCCTTAAGTCACAACCAAAGTAAAGTTAGTGCTAGCATTAATGAATGGATTTTTTGAACTCAGTATCCATGGAATGCATAGTGCTGTATTAGAGCTGATGAGGAATATAGAAATATAAGACCCAAGCTGGGATCCAAGAGAGTTTGTTTGGGTATTTTTTTGTATAATTTTTTTATATAATATAATTAATTATATTTAATTAATTTAATATAATTAAATTTATAATTAATTTTATATAATTTTAATTAATTTATATAATTTTATATATATTATATATATAATTACATTTATATATAATATAATATATAATTTTAATTAATTTAATATAATATAATTAATAATATAATTTTTTGTATAATTTTTTATTGGAGTTCGATTTGCCAACATATAGCATAACACCCAGTGCTCATCCCATCAAGTGCCCTCCTCAGAGCCTGTCACCCAGTTACCCCATCCCCCACCCACCTCCCCTTCCACCACCCCTTGTTCATTTCCCAGAGATAGGGGTCTCTCATGTTCTGTCTCCCTCTCTGATATTTTCCACTCATTTTCAAGGAGAGTTTGTTATAAGTGTATTTGAGAGAAGACTCTCACAGGATACCACAGCAAGTTACATTTAAACAGCACGGTTTTAGAAGTACATAGATCATGGAACAAAGCATGGAGGGTTAACAGGGAGAATAAATTCAAATAGAGAAAATAGGCCATTTTAGCTTAAAAGGAACTTTGCTAAAAAGAGGTAGCAAAGCCTAAACTGGAGATGTAGTAAGGATACTACCGCAAAAGGCTTCCACCATCAGTCAGTAGAGACTGGAGCCCATCGTGGACACAGGGACCCCAAGAAGAAACATCCTTAATGATCTGGGGTAAATACTCTTGATGGAGAGGCCTAGAATCCAACAAATAGCAATCAATGAGGAATTGAAAGCCAAGGAGGAGCAGAACAAAGAGGAAATATGATAGGCAAGAGGCAGAACGATTCAGGGAAGGCTGGACACCAGGGGATACTAGAGGCTAAAAGAAACATGTAAGATATACAGATGTGTATTTGTGCACACCCACACCCACATACACATAGTCACATATGTGGTCTCTCTCATAGTCTCGGTAATATCTCTAAGTAGAAGTACATATAGACACACACATGTACACACACACGTGCGCGCACGCACACACACATGCCTCAACCACATACTAGTAGGGTTCATACCACACCAAGTGACCTGGGTGTTATGGAATTAACATCCTTTGAGGATCTGGGAAATCCCAGAGTTCTTCCCATGCCTGGAGGCAGTAGACTTTCCTCACACAGTCTCTCTGGCTCTGATTCTTTTTCCTCTGATCAGTGGTTTAGTCATTTAATAACCTTGCACCGTCATAGATAGGGCTCTTTTTCTGACTTACTATCAACCCAGATGTGAACTCTGACTCTTTCCTTTATCCCCTAAAAATGTGAAAATACCAGTACTACTTTCAAGAAAAGTCTGTGTTCATATAACTGAATTAAGGCCTTTAGAGACTAGGAGTTGGGAGAAGCTCAGAAAACAGAAAGAGGCAAAAAGTCATGTGTTGTCTTAATTATGCCTGTTCTTAAACATACTTTGGCCTCCACTCCACTACGGATATCTTTCCATTGGCTGCTTTATGCTGGGCAATGCCCAGCCTTACACAGTCTCACTGTTTCATTGCTGCCTTTCCTCTTTCTCATCTGTGGACTTCACTTCAGCCTTCCCACAGGACCCCTGGAAATTCTGAATTCTCAGTCTCACTGGTAGACCAGATCTTTTCTCTCTCCCTTATCTATAAAACTTCATTCCTGTTTCATACTATCTTATTAAAACCTACCAACAATTTCAACAAAAGAGAAAAGTCTTATATTTTCTAACCAGATTCACTCTCCTTAGAAAACTGTTATAATTTAAAAAAAAAAAAAAGAATGTGTTGGCATTTGTTTAAAAATATGGCATGTTACAAACTCTCTACCAGAGATTTTCTTTGCATTAGCTCATTGGTTCTCTCACACATGCCCCCAAAAGTTATTTTTATATTATCTTTATTGTAGATGAACAAAACTGAGGACAAGAAGGATGAGGTATTTTTCAGAAGGCCACGCAGGTAATAGGTGGCAGAACCAGGGTCGGATTCCTCAAGCAGTTTCTTGGTTGCTATAGCACACATACATGTGTGCACACACACACTCACGTATAAGATGATAAAGAATTGGAGGATTCTATGAAACGTGGTTTAAACCAGATTAAAACATTGAATTAAGATTTGAGGGGCAAGAAAAGAGACATTGGGAACTCACGCTCCAAAACTGAGCCAGGAAGGTATCTTATAGGAACAGCGGGAGAGCAAGGTGGGGGAGGTTTGCAGTTTTTCTCCCCTGCCACATTTTCTAAGTAGTTCTATTCCAAGCGGGGAGAAGCTACCTTGGGTTCCCATAGAGGGAGGCAGGGAGCGGCTGCCAGTCACTACCAGTCACAGGTCACAGGACCGTGTGGGTGGCATGAGGCAGTACTGTCATGCTCAAGTCCTGTCTCACAGGCTGGGACAGAGCCCAAAGCCGGGATAAAAGGGCCTCAGGGTCAGAGTGGCTCCATACACTCCTCTCCTGAGGTGCTTACAGACTTACTGCACGGGTAAGTATCTCTTGGGAGGAAGCTTAGACCAGAGCAGAGGGGCAAGTGAGAGAGGGTCTTGGGGGCTGGAGGCCATGTGGGGAGGGGGAGAGAGGCCTCGTGAAGACTAAAGGAAAACATGGATGGGAGAGTACACTGCTGAGTCCCTGAGAGAAGAGTGGACAGCAGTGCCTCTGTGTTGTACCAAACTGAGCTCTAGCTGTCAAGGTTCTCAGGTCAGAGGGAATAGAAGCACTGGCCATCAGGCTCTGCTGGAACAGCTTTAACAAGATGTTACATTTGAGAGTAAATTCATAAATTGTGACCATCTTTGCCAAGATGAGCCGGTAATTCTCAACCAACAGAGAAAGAATTAATCTGAGGATGCTTTGGGTAGCTCTGAATCCCACATATCTATGGATCTGAAATGGAATTGGGTGTCTGTTGAGGAAGTCAGAGGCACCAAGCTCAGAATCACTGTGCTAAGATACAGGATGAGGCTTCAGGTGTGCTAGAAATGGCAGGGTATCACACTGCAGCTGGGGTGTCCGAACTCGGATCCCCTACCTGCACAAACATACCATTCTTGAGCTGCCTCAGTAAGAAAGTATACATGTGGGAACAGCCAGCCTACCAGACCATCTATTTCTATCTACATGTCCTAGAACAAAATGAAGTAACAGTTCCTAATTTCCTTTCTTTGAGAGAATATTTACATTCTGATCTGGTTTCCAGACTGGCCAGTTTGAGAGTTCTGGTTGACAAGATAGAAAAAATTACCACCTTCACTTACCAGATAATTAATCATGATCGATTTTTTTCATACTGGTTTTGCCTCCATCTCCTTCTTTTGAAAGACAGAAGAATCCCTGCCTACCTTAAAATAGAAGTTGTGAGACGCAAAGGACATAGTGGGAGAGAATATGCCTAAGTATTAGAAATAGTGAAACTTCCAGGGTGGAATTATCAAGGCCTCCATTTAAACAGTTCATCCAATAAAGGCACTAGAAATGATACTGAGAGCAGGAAGGGGTGGGGCAGGGGGGCTCTGTGTCCTGGGTCTGACTCCCTGTGTGACTCTCCCTCAGGTCCTGACCCTGCCCACTGAGATGTCCTGCCAGCAGAACCAGCAGCAGTGCCAGCCCCCTCCCAAGTGCCCCCCAAAGTGTCCCCCAAAGTGCCCCCCAGTCTCTTCTTGCTGTAGTGTCAGCTCTGGGGGCTGCTGTGGCTCCAGCTCCGGGGGTGGCGGCTGCTGTGGCTCCAGCTCCGGGGGTGGCGGCTGCTGCCTGAGCCACCACAGGCGACACAGGTCCCACCGCCACAGACACCAGAGCTCAGGCTGCTGCAGCCAGCCCTCGGGGGGCTCTGGTTGTTGCAGCCAGCCCTCGGGGGGCTCGGGCTGCTGTGGAGGGGGCAGCAGTCAGTCATCTGGAGGCTGCTGCTGAAGTCAATCCTGACCCCCTCTTCTCCTGACCTCCCTGAATGGTGGAGAGATCTGAGTAAAGCCTTGAGCTCTGGCCAGAGGATCCCTCAACAGTGGTTTCCAGAAGCCGAAAAGGTTTCTCTGAAATTCATATCCTGACCTCATTCCACCTATCAGTGGCTGCCCTGGGAATCCCAAAGCATAGACCTCATGTCCCTCTGCAACTTCTATTATTGCATTCTGTTGAATTGAAACAATAAAACAGAATCTGTTCAGTAACTTGGCATAGAGTGATTTCATTTCCTGTTTTTGTCACCATTGTTCTCTCCTCTGTTCTCTCCTGGTGGCTTCAGAGGCATCAATAGACAGAGAACAGGGTCAACTACAGGAGGGACATTTTTAATGCTTTTCTATGTTTGCAATCTTCCCTAATTCTTTGTTTTCGCTTTTAGTTTTTTGAAAGACTTTATTTACTAATTGGAAAGACAGAGAGAGAGAGAGAGAGAGCATGGGCAGGTCTCTCTGATAGTGATGTTTTCTTGCGTCTGTTGGCCAACTGTATGTCTTCTTTAGAAAAATGTCTATTCATGTTCTCTGCCCATTTTTAAATCAAACTGTTTTTTTTCTAATGTTGAGTTGTACAAATTTCTTATATATTTTGGATATTAACCCCTTATCAGATACATCTTTTCTTCTCTCATATATGTTCTCTCATTCAGTAGATTGCTTTTTTATGTTGTTAATTGTTTCTCTTTTTGTGCAAAAGCTTGATGTAGTCCCAATAGTATTTTGCTTTTGTTTCCCTTGCCTTAGGAGATGCATCTAGAAAAATGTTGCTATGGTCAATGTCAGAGAAATTATTATCTGTGTTATCTTCTAGGATTTTTATGTTTTCTGGTCTCACATTTATGTCCTTAGTTCATTTTTTAAAATTATTTGTTTTGGAGAGAGAGAGAGCACACAGGTGCAGAGATGAGAGGGTTAGAGGGAGAAGGAGAGGGAAACTTCATCAGATTTCACACTCAGCGCACAGCCTGACACGGGGCTTGATAATCACCACTCAGGTCAGAACCCAAGCACACACCATGAGTCGGATGCTTAATGGACTGAGCCACCCAGATGCCTCTGTCTTTAGTCTGTTTTGAGTTTATTTTTGTGTATGGTGTTACAAAGTGGTCCAATTTCATCCTTTTATATGTAGCTATTCAGTTTTCCCAGCACTATTTATTGAAAAGACTGTCTTTTTTCCATATTGTACATTTTTGCCTCCTTTGTCAAAGAATAATTGATGGTATAAGCTAGAGTTTAATTCTAGGCTCTCTATTCTATTCCATGTATCTATGTGTCTGTTTTTGTGCCAGTCTCATACTGTTTTGATTCAACAACTTTGCAGCATATCTTGAAATCTGGAATTGTAATACTTCCAGCTTTGTTTCTCTTTCTCAAGATTGCCTTGGGTATTCAGGGATTTTGTGGTTCCCTAAAAATCTTATAATTATTTGTTCTAGTTTTGTGAAGACTGTTGTTGGTGTTTTGATAGGGATTGCACTCAATCTGTAGACTGCTTTAGGTAGTATGGATATTTTAACATAAAACTAATGTAACAGTGTGTGTCAACTATACTCAAGTAAAATTTTAAAAATCTTTCAATACTTGGTAATAAATGAATAATTTTGAATTATTACCACCATTTAAAAATATGGAAGGCAATAAAAATAATGTCATGAGAAATTCAAAGCTTTTTCTCTAAGATCAGGTTTAAGGCAAGGATGTCCCCTCTCACTACTCCTTTTCAACATAGTACTAGAAGTTCTGGTTAATACAATAGGATAATTAAGAGTATACAGATTGGGAAGGAAGAAATAAACTATTTTGTTTGCAGATTATATGATGATCTATGTAGAAAATCTGAAAAAAAATTAACAAAAAACCTCCTGGCTCTAATAAGGAATTATAGCAACAAGACTGAAGGATACAAAGATTAATACATAAGAATCTATCATTTTCCCATATACCAGTGAACAAGTAGAATTTGAAATTAAAAATGCAATGCCATTTACATCAGCACCACTCCACAATAAAATACTTAGGTATAAATCTGACAAAATATGTGTAAGATAAATATGAGGAAAACTACAAAACTCTGATGAACAAAATCAAACAGAACTAAATAAATGGAATGGTATCCCATGTTCATGGGTCAGAAGAATCAGTATTGTCAAGATGTCAGTTCTTCTCAACTTGGTCTATAGATTCAATGTGTTCTCAGTCAAAATCCCACAAATTATTTTCTGGTTATCAAGAAACCGATTATAAAACTCATATGGTAAGGCAAAAGATCCTGAACAGCCAACACAGTATCAAAGGAAAAAAATAAAGTTGTAGGACTGACACTACCCAACTTTAAGACTTACTATAAAGCTACATAATCATGACAATTTGACATTAAGAAAATAGTGGATAATAGATCAATAGAACAGAACAGACACCCAGAAATATAGTCAATTGAGCTTTGACAAAAGAGCAAAAGTAATATAATGAAACAAAGGTGGTCTTTTCAACAAGTAATGCTGGAAAAAGGGACTGTCTACAAGCAAAAAGAAAAAAATCAATCTAGACACAAACCTTATAACTTTCATAAAAATTAGCTCAGAATGGATTACAGACCTAAATGTAAAATCAACTATTATAAAACTCCTGGAAGATAACTATTGAAGAAGACCTAAACTAACCCGGGTTTGGTGATGACTTTTTATTTATTTCATTTTTTTAATTTATATTACAAAAGATTTTATTTTATTCATGAGAAGCACAGAAAGAGAGGCAGAGACATAGGCAGAGGGAGAAGCAGGCTCCTGGGGGGAAGCCCAATGTGGGACTCCATCCCAGGACCCCGGGTCCATGCCCTGAGCCAAAGGCAGATGCTCAACAGCTGAGCCATCCAGGCATCCTAAGGTGATGACTTTTTAGAAACAACACTAAAGCCACAATACTGGAAAAAAATAAGTGAGAGGCTAGCCTTGATTAAATTAAAAGCTTTTTGCTCTGCAAAAGACAAATTTAGGAGAGTGATAAAACAAATCACAGACTATGAGAAAATACTTGAAAAAGACACATATGATGAAGGACTATTATTCAAAACATATAAATAACTCTTAAAACTCAACAATAAGACAGCAAACAACTCAGCTTAAAAAAAATAAAAAAGGACAATAGACCTTACCAAACACCTCACCAATGAAGGTATACATAACTAATAAGCATGTGAAAAGACACTCCACATCATATGTCATCAGGGGAATACAAATTGAAACAATGGGATACCACTGTACACCTATTAGAATGCCCAAAATCTGGTACACTGGCAACACCGAATACAGATAAAGAGATGCAGCAACAGGAACTCTCATTTATTGCTGGTATGAATGCAAAATGGTACAGCCATTTTGGAAGATGGTTTGGTGGTTCCTTATAACAAAGTAAATGTACTCTTATCATATGATCAACCAATCTTACAGTATTTAACCAAAGGAGGTGAAAACTTGTGTAGATGCAAAAACCTGCACACAGATATTTAGAGCAGCTTTCTTCACAATTGCCAAATCTTAGACACAACCACCATGTCCTTCAGGAGGTAAGTGAATAAATGAACTGTGATATATCCAGACAATGAAATGTTATCTGGCACTATAAAAGAAAGTTTTCAAGCAATGGAAAGACATGAAGGAACTATAAATATGTATTACTAAATGAAAGAAGACAATCTGAAACAGCTATATGCTGTATGATGCCAGCTATATGACATAGGGAAAAGACAAAACTGTGGAGACAGTGAAAGGTCAGTGTTTCTTTTTATCTTTTTGAGATCAGAGTGTTGTTGAAGGATAGGATAGGAGAGAACACCAAGGATTTTCAGGGCAGTGAAAATACTCCCTATAATACCATAATTATGGATAGATATCATTATACATCTGTCCAAACCTAGAGTATGTATTCCAAGAGCAAACCGTAATGTAAACTATGGACTTTAGATGACAAGAAGGTGTCAATAGAAGTTCATGGATTGTAACAAATGTACCACTCTTGTGGGGAAAGTTGATAGTGGGGAAGTTATGCATAGATGGGCACAAAGGGTACATGAGAAATCTCTGTACCGTCCTCTAAGTTTTTCTGTGAACCTAAAACTGCTCTAAAAAAAAGATAAAGTTCAATAAATAACTTGGGAAAATAGATCACAAATGGCAGTTATAGGACCAGTGTCCTTAATAAACACATGGTTCATGCAAATTAACAGTAAATAAACATTCCTGTAAAAGATTTGGAAAAGTTGCAAATGACGAATTCTTGAAAAAGAGAAATAAGGGCACTCGGGTGGCTCAATCAGTTAAAGTCTGTCTTTGGCCCAGGTCATAATCCCAGGGTCCTGGGATCAAGCCCCACATCGGGTTCCCTGCTCAAGAGGGAATCTGCTTCTCCTACTCCCTCTGCCCCTTCTCCTTCTGTTTATGTGCTGCGCTCTCTCTCTATATCTCCCTCAAAATAAGTAAATAAATAAATAAATAAATAAATAAATAAATAAATAAATAACAAAGACAAGATCTTTTTTAAAAAGGAAAAGAAAAAGAGAAGAAAGAAAAAACCAAATATTTATAATTACCGTTGAAATTAATTTGGAAAAATGATTCTACCTTGCTCATAAAGAAGAAACTGAATTCATTTTTTAGGAAGTAGCTCTCAAGTTCATAATACATTTCAAAAATTAGCTCACAAAACTCATTGTTGTTACAAAATTCACCAGGTGATGTGCAAATGGTCACTTATGATTTGTTCTTGAGAATGCAAATTAGCATAAAGATTTGAGTGACTCATTAACTCTCAAATATATTTATTGGCTCAGATGAATTAAGCTTAAATGAATGTACCATTCATAACATAACATAAACATTCTATGACTTTGAGTCAAAAAAGTTAAAAAAAATAAAAATGAAAGAAAAGACACTGTAATAATTCAGAAGTAATGGGAGAGCCCAGCATAGTTGAGATAAATATGAGGTACATGTGAAAAAATTAGTAGCAAGACTCAGAAAAATGTAACTTTAAAAGATGTTATTTAAAATAGTACCTGAATTTTCGCCTAGACTCTAAGAATATTGCTTCCTCATTTATAATTTAATTTAATATAATTTAAAGGGTTTGTAAAGATGGAAAAAAATAAAGATTGCAGATTTGCTTGGTGCTGGCTTAGAAGCACGGAGAAAACCTAGTTTCTCAGTCTGCAT